ATTAATTCTTGTTGTGCCACCAACAAGAAACTAAATCATATTATACTTAAACATCTGAATAAGACCAAATATATCATTCATAAACTCTTGTCCTTCAAGTTTATAATCTAGATGTTATCTAAACTCTTATTCAAAGGAAAATTATCTTCCCCAAGAATTTCTTGAGGTTGCTTTTTCATTGCAAATTATTTTATTTTCATCACTTTTAATAAAGCATTTTAAGTCAAAAATTTAGATGTTCTTTTTTTAATATTTTACCACATCATTACGTACAAAACCTTTCCAAGTAAACCTGTAAAGTATTGGTGTGGTCATATATACATATCTAACATGCTTGCTACCCAAAACGTTCTACATTTAATTTGCATGGACTGCAAGCAATGACTAAATTAAGTAATTATTTTACATTATAAAATTATAACTCTAATGTAATTTTTACAAATATACACTTAAAACAAAGATGGATTTTTAAGAATATTACAAAATGAGTTCATGTAATCTACATAACCTCTTCTAGTGCCACATAAATCCTTTAGCCACTATGGCTAATGCAATGAAATCTGCATTAGCCACACCACTTAAAGTATTAAACTTATATTAGTAGTATAATGAAGCTGTTGAATGTAAATGTATTATATTTGGGGTACTATAATAGTAAACCGAAGCTGTGAATGTAAATGTATTATATTTGGGGTACTATAATAGTAAACCGAAGCTGTGAATGTAAATGTATTATATTTGGGGTACTATAATAGTAAAACGAAGCTGTGAATGTAAGAATGATAACTTTGAGGCTTCCCTTATCAATATAAGTACACCATCAACATTTATACTACATAATATATGCACATATATAAAACAAGAAGTTTTATCTTCAGGAACTTTTTTATGTTGTAAATTAATACAAAAACAAGACTAGACATAAACTAAATGACTACTAGTATGTAACTTTGCACTAGCAATAATCATTAATACTGTTTTATATAAAAATTTATATGACTAAGATAGTGAGAAATACTTTGCTGCAATACTTTAAAATTGTACTAAACATGCACTGGTCTGTAAAAAACAAAAGCTCTGAAAAGTATCGATGTAATCACAGTTCTCCAGTGGTCATGATCAAACTTCTTTTTCTGCATGCCTGGATCATTATCATTATTGTTCTTTTCTGGGACTGGCAGGAAAAATAATAATATTGGTTTGATTTGACATCTGATGGGATAAAATTACCCCTTCAGTGTCTTAAGAAAAAGTTCCCGCATAAAAAAATAGATAACTTCAGGCATGTGCGAGATGCCTATTCTACACCAGCAATGCAGTATAAACATACAGCAAAGGCAAACGGGAAATTAAACCACGAAAATATTAAAATGAGTGGACAATTCATTGGGTAGTCTTAGTATTATATATTTATTTGTGTGGTTGAATTTCTATTCTCAATGAAGATGACAAACAACTTCAGATAAAAGTTAATTTATTCAAACCGGTGTTTCAGCTTACGCCTGTTTCAAGGGTCAACGAATGTTACAAGTACCAAACTGATATTAAATTAGAGTAATCAAAAATAAAATAGAACTACAACAACATAAGGGAACAGTACACATGAAGCATGCTAAAGTATTGTTAAATGAGTTAGAATCACTGATTATAATAGTAAAAGTTAAAAAGAAAAAATTAAAACGAAAAGTATTATAGGGGCCAGGCATTGTACCTTTTAATGGAAGGGCATCTGGATTGAATCAAAAGAGATTTCTTAAATTTTCTGTCAAGAAAATTCTCACAAGTCTAACATTTTCAATCGATAAAGTGTCTCATTGATTGTACTGTGTGCTTTGATGTGATGTTCAATGGTGGCTTCCTACAGTAGGCAATAAACTCAACAATAAATGGATAGCACACACTCCACTTGTTTTAAAATAATATATTCAAAATAAGTTAAACATATGTACAAAAATTCTTTATACTATAGATATCACAGTTGTATCTTAAACACTAAATAGTTCTACTTTTCTTGTCGAAAGTCAACTCCACTCAGGCTGATTCAATTACTTTAGAATCCAATTGACTGGAGGAACTATTTTTCTCAACTCTTATCACAATAGTATCGGTGAATAACTCACTTATGCTACCCCGTGGGCTGCCACAGTCATATTCTGAACTTCAAATAATTGTCTTCTTTTTGTCAAAGTCCACACAGATGGGTTCAATTACCTTAGAACACCCTTTGACAAGACAAATTATTCTCCTTGTCTCTACTAAACTGTGAAATTCACTTTAAAATATGGCCTCTTATAGCTATTCACTCACATGCCAGCTAACTTGTTTTCTAACTGAACTTTGCTTTTATTTCTTTTTTATTATTATTAACTTGCACTCTCATGCCACTTATATAAATACTTTATTCACGTACGACTCTTACCGAGTTATGTAACCAAACTTGTCATAACTATCACCTTTAAAATGATTACTTTTAACTCTCTTGTTATGAAAAACTAAACAATCATTAAATATTAACTCATAAAATAAATTAATTAATAATACCTACACTAAACAGTCTTGTATATCCAGCAGTTGTCAAGATTACTTTAAAAAGTAAAAATGAGGTTATATTCACTTTTGTGGCAAATTAAAGGTGATTTGGATTCGCCGTAATGAATTTAGCATCGCATTTGCGAGTGCGGCGATTGGCTAGCATGAGCAGAGACAACAATAAAATAGTATCAAATAATCACCTTGTAAGGTTAAGAAAATAATAATAAAATAAACTTTTACCTTGACCCACTCATTAGGTTCTACATTCTCTATCAGAATTTCCATAGATGGAGCTTCTAGTAGTACCTGCTTCACTATCTGTTCTGGTGACTTTGCTGTTGTAATGTTAATGGGCACAAGCCATCTCAGATTATCCCCTAGGAGAAACATTGCAAAAGCTCTTAATTTCTAAATAAAAACAACAAAACATAATTATGTACTCTGTCAGAAACAAAAGTTAAAACAGGCGAATCATATAGCTTAGAATGTTTTAACACTTAGTTTAAATACTACACATTCGTACATGATTAATAGTTCTGTCTAATTATGACATTTTATGGTTTCTATATTTGAAGTTCTATTTGTCATATACATATGTACAAGTTTCAAGGTAGTATGGGCACATACAGTTTTTGTAACAGAGAACTGACTTAACATAAACATGAATAAATATTCATGCATATCACAAAAAGAAAATCATTACCCTCAGCATTTCCATCAGCACAGAACTTTTCTTGAGTCAAAGAAAGAATCTTATTTTTTCCATCTTGCCTGCATGACACCTATAAACCAAAATAATATTTTAAATTACATCAAGTGAATTTTAATATTCACTAAAAAAAAATAAACTTTGGATTGTAATAACAGTTTTGATAAACCTAAAATTAAACTTAATACATTATAGAACAGTTTCAAATAAGTTAATACAATACTGATATCACATTCTCATATTCTTGTTATAGCTTTTGCATCAAAGGATATCAACACATCTTTAGTGTACAGGTCTATAAAAAAAACAATACTGTAAAGGAACAATGCAGTTACTAAAAATATTTGTTTTTACTGATGGGAAAACATTTTTTTTTGGTAAGACATACCGATACCACAGGAAAACCCTTTTGTTTTGTCCATGAGCTCATAATAGCAGCCACTGGTTTTTGACTAGCATCTTCTAAAGCCTGCCACAGATCTTCAGTTTGAGCATTTTTGTACATGTGTCTTGTCAGGTACGTGTTCATCCCTTTACTAAAAACCTAAAGAAGTACCAGAGTTTATAAATAAACTTAAATAGACAAAGTTATGCAATAATTGCTCATAATAATTTTATTTGCCTCCAAGTGTACTGCCAAGTAAATCAGTCATCACACAGTATGATGATTATAAGATAAATCATGAACCAGATTCTTAATAATTTCATTCATTTTAGATCTGAAACAAAACATGTAAGAGAACAGAAAGAAACAAAATTACACTATTAACATACATCACAATACTGTATTCATACTCCCAATTGTGCCCAAAATATTTAGTAATGGGACACAAGACATCTCAGCCTAGCTCAAGCACTGGATAAATAATGGGTTTTCTAATTAGATATAAAGTAGTGGGCCATCTGTAATGGCAAATATTTGACTATATCCTGCATGGTGGTTAGGTTTATATGATATTGCTTGCCATTTGCATTCAAATTTCTCTTTCTTGATCTCTTCTTATTAATGAATTTTAAGAACTAACTGATCAAGAACCTAGGCTAGAAACATTGTTAGTTATTTTTGAAGCATTTATGTTCAATAAGGAATCAGGAAAAATCTATGAAAGCCATGTTCTTCATCCTATCAACAATTTTTGGATCATGTATTTTTGATGACAATATAATTCCAACAGTCATGTGCAACCTGTTTGCTTTCAAACAGAGATATATAGTTCAAATATTATGGGAAAGTACAATCCTACCAAAACACCTGTAACTGATGCAGCCCAGGGAAACTCATTAAAATTAATATATTACTTTTACATAGCATACAAGAAAAATCAAACCATCATATAGTTAGGTTATGTGAAGGCATGTTACATCATGGAGCATCAGAGTGGACATCTTGTCATCTACATCAGCAGAACACCACCATCCTTCCCTCAACTGAATGGATTCAGTATTTTTTGCATTGTATATATATATATATATATATCAATCATATTCAGAAGGATGCCTACATGGTCAACCACCCCAGTGGCTTGGAACTGGAAAATGGTAAGAAATCCTATACTCCACTGGAAGAAACAGAGGGGAGAAAATGCAGTTGGAAGCCTGTAGGAATGTCAACACCTGAGACAGTGCAACAGGTGACCATGAAAAACCATATTTTGAAAAGCAGACCACTCCTGATGTATTTATTCTACGGCATGGCAGGGATGTGCAGCTATCCCCTTCTGCTTTACCCACGAAGTCCATGGGTTAATACGGTCTGGAACATGTATATTAATCAAGCAAATATGTTGCGAGGAAAAACCTATGAACGATCTTGTGGAATACCTCATATCAACTGTGTGCATTTAGTGGCCATGGAAATTGTAATTTTTAAATCATCATGACCTTAAAGTGCAGATTTGACTAGTTTAAGTATACCTGGACATGCACTACTCGTCACAGAGTGGGATCCTTGAAAAAAAAAAAAGATATATATACATATACACACAAAAAGATAACTTACCCAGACGCATGTGGAAGACAATAACCCGACAAGGAAGAAATGGCTATCCCATGCAGATAGTGAGAGATGAATGTATGCGGTGTGGTCCACATGCCCAACTGAAGAATTTCCTCCAATGGGCAATGGAGATGAGATGCCAGGAAAAAAAATAAGGTGCCTAATCTTGTGAGAAGACACCTGGAACAAGTTACAGGAAGAAGGAGACAAGGAAGAATAAGCAAATCAAATTTGTAAAGGTAGAAGGAGAAAGGTCACGAATAGAGGATACTTGCCATGGAATTAAGAAGTGGTAACAGGCACCATGGAAGGAACCCGTGCAAGCAATATAACAACAAAGAGCACATACGGGACATAGCAGTCTATCTGGATCAGACCATGAATATTGGTGGGAAATGGAAGAAAGGGAAATTGGCAAGGAAGAAGAATTACCCTAATAAGCCATCAAAGTTTTGGAAAAGAAAGATCGATCTGGATAAAGAAGAACATATGTGGAATGATACAGGGTATGTGAAATGTCAATGGTAAATAAGTCCGACTGATGACATCCACAGGCCAAGAGAAGAAGGAAGTAAGCCTTAAGGAATAAGTGAAAAACCAAACACAAGGACAGAGGTTTAACTCTCTCAATACGGGCTTGGTCAATTTGACCAACCACTTGACCTTGTTGTACTTGTTTAAAGTCTTTATAGATTTAATACTTATAACTCTCAATATAGTGTGTGTATATCTTCACGAAATTTGGCAGTTTTTCAGTTAATATTACAAGTCTTTCACATACAAAAAAAATCATTTTTAGTGAAGTATTTTAAATAAAATAAAATAAAGATTTGTCCAAGAATATATTGATTATTTGTTTTAAATAGTCCGTGTGCAAAGTAATTTTCATGTTAAAACTAAAAATACTTTTCCTTATCTCAAAAATCTCAAATTTCCATTGTGTAATCCCTGAAACATCCTAAATGCATTTCAAACGTTTTTTTTTTCAGTAAAACTTTATAGTTT